ATCTCAGTTTGTTGAGTATGCCTTTAGGATGTTAAGCAACGGAGGAGCAGGAAAGAAAGCAAATAAGATACGAACAGTTATTGGCTGTGGTGTTGCAGGGCTGACCTGGGTTTTACTGGCCACAGGGTTCCTGAGAGCTTTTGATTCTGTTGACTCAGGTGAGTAATGTATGTAAATCATGGAAGGAGAATAAGCCGGGGAGGTCACTGGAAAAGGGTGTGGCCCAACTCTTCTAAAACCCAGTGACAAAGGCAGAATTCTGACTCCGGCCCTAAGTGACAAACGCCACAGAGTGACCAGGACTAGATTCAGAGCACACTGCCTGTCTCCCATTGACCAACTGATCTCCAACATTCTCGCAAAACCTCAGGTTACCACCAACATGGCATAGGAAAATTCCATTTTCATGTTGTGAGAAATCATTCTCAAGCTGGTCCATCTTCAGGAATAAGGAAACAAAGGGTCCAGAAAGTTGCTAATAGAACCCTACTAGAGTGACAGGGGAGCCCTGGTGTGGCGCTGTGGGTTAATGCGCCAGACTGTAAAGCCGTTTGAACTGCAAGGTTGGCGGTTCAAGCTCTCCAGTCGCTCTTCGGAAACCCTATACAGGGTAGCCATGGGTCAGAACCGACTCGACAGCACTTCACAACAACAACAACAGAGTGACCGGAGCCCATTCACCTGGGGTATGTGTAGACAGGATAAATTAGGGGAGGGACAAAGGGAACCTGTTACACTATGTCCCTGCATGAAGGATTTAGATCCTTCCTAGCATCTGGAGTTACCTTTACTGACTGGGTCGAGGCGGAGCCTACTAGAATTCAAAGGGGCCGCTGAAGTTTGTAAGTAGTTGCTCTCTAAGAATGTACTCCTGTATTTGGACTTCCACTCCTGACCTGGTGTGGCGCTGTGGGTTAATGTATCAGACTGCAAAGCCATTTGAACTACAAGTTCGTTGGTTCAAGCTCAATTAGTTGCTTCTTGGAAACCCTATACAGGGTCGCTATGGGTCAGAACCGACTCGACGGCACTTCACAACAACAACAACACCTGATAGAATGTTAATGACCCTGCCTTTATGGTCAAGATCACTCAGCGCCTGTCTAAGGACTTTGACATTAATTATAAACTTCATTCTGCATGGAAACCACAGTCTTCTGGGAAAGTTGAAAGAATGAACTAGGCCTTAAAGAGAATCTTAATGAAGCTTTGCTAAGAAACATAAGAACCATGGCTCAACAGGGGTGTGAGATAGTCCCAGGGGCGCTATAAAGCTCGACCCATTTGAGATGCTGCCTCAGAGGCCATTTGATTGACTACGCCAAGAGACTCAGCAGTTACACACACGCAGAAGGAACATAGGGCAAATGCCTAGAGTCATACAGAAATATGGGAATCACATGATCCCCGAACCCACTCAAGGAAAATTACACTCATGCAAACTGGGAAGTATGATGTTCCTAAACACTTAGAAGGAGGCTAGTCCTTCCTACCAACTAGCTGATGAGTAGAATGGGTTGCACCAGAAACTATGAACAACTCATTGTTGTTACAACTCATTGTTGTTACTCCTTAAACTACAAGGAGTCAGTCGCCCCATGGATCTACCATACCTGGATAAAGCCAGCCTCTCCACAACTCAGAGCTGAAGAAAATCACCCAAAACTAGACTCATACAGCTGTGAAATGGTTCAAGGGTCTAACGGCGATTCATGACAAAGACAGAGACGTGATCCGAGTAAATGACCAGTGAACACACTGGTGATCGTCTCTCTGCTGTTGATGATTTTGGCCCTGATGTGTTTGTGTCTCTTTCCTGAAAGGTGGAACCGTTCCGTTTCAAGTGTGAGTAAACTCAGCAACAACCCTATCTCCCCAGAAGAAATTCATTCTATCTTTCTAGGCTTATTTTGTTGTTGTTGTTAAGTGCCGTCGAGTCAATCCCGACCCATAGCGACCCTGTATAGGGTTTCCGAGGAGCAGCTGGTGAGCTGTGTCCTAAAAACTAACTCTGCTCAGTTTGCCTGTCTGCAGTGAGGGAATCACAAAATGGACACTGAAGTAATGTTCTCGCTTCTCACTTCCCTAGAACACAAAGTGATCTAGAACAATCTTTAGGAAGGGCCAACAATTCAGTTATCCAAACCCTCTTGGTGTGGTGCTGTAGGATCAGCACTGGACAGGAAACCTCAAAGTCGGCAGCTCAAACCCACCAGCGGCTCCTTGGAAACCCTATATATAGGGTCACTCTGAGTGGGAACTGACTTGATGAAACTTAACAGCAACAAACAACATAACAAAGGGAGAGGATTTAACAGACTGTTGGATTTGTCGCTCTCATCCTGCCTTGTCACCCTCCCACTACTTAGATTTTCACAGGTTCATCTCTCCTCTAACTCAGTGTTGACAGCCTATGTCACATCGATCTAGTAACCTGCTTTGTTGTTGTTAAGTGCCATCGAGTCGGTTCCAACCCATAGCGACCCTGTACAGGGTTTCCGTGGTTACGAATTGGACTGAGAACCTCAAGGTCAGCAGTTCTGTGGGAGAAAGATGAGGCTTTCTGCTCCCGTAAAGATTTACAGCCTCGGAAACCCTGTACAGGGTCTCTGTGAGTCAGAACTGACTCCACGGCACATTACCACGACCGCCATTATCCTGACCAGCCAGCCCAGTTAATTCCTCAAATTGACAAGGTTTCCAAATCTTACCTGCTCCTCAAACACCACAATCAATCAAATTACCTAGTTGTTGTTGTTGTTAAGTTCTGTTGAGTCAGTTCCAACTCACAGTGACCCTGTGTAGGGTTTCCTAGGAGAGGCTGGTGAGCTTGAACCGCTGACCTTGTTATTCAAACAGACATTGGAGCCCAGTGCATAATCCTCCCGTGCCACACCAGGACTCCAAATTGTCCTGCTAGAAACCGTAAAAAAAGGCCGCTGCGGCAGTGATTAATGGTAACCCCAATTTTGAGCCAACGAAGACTCAACCGTGGCTACAACGGAACATTTTGATTCTCTCTGACAAAGTTAAATATAGAGCTTGAAACTTTGGGAGGAAGGTCAAAAATCGCTAGTCAACTGGCTAAACGTAGCCAATGCTGCCTCACATAAGCTACTCTTTGGACAAGTTCTGTTTGCTGCTCCTGGGTAATCCTGACTCTATGGGGCTGCCCCTATAGCCTAGACCCAAACCCCACACCCACCTGAGAAAGCTAAAGTGTTGCGTGATGCTGTCTCCATCTAACCAGGACCAGGAAGATATACCGTATTGCACTGGAGGAAGCTGAGATTCTGGCCCGCAACCACCCTTCAGGTCTGGAAAGGAACTCACCCTTGTGGCCTGATTTTCAGCCAAGCAGTAGATGGGTTTATAGGTAATGGACAATACTAGTTAGGTATGGTCAATCATTGCAAATCAAAAGGGCAGCATTTACCTAAGGACAAAGTTGAAGAGGGATGGGGAAGAGAGTGAACTGGAACTAGGAACCCCAGGAAAGAAGCGGGTAACTGATGTTGCAGGGAGGGGAAGGTAGTCATTGAGATCAAACCAAGTATATGGTTTGTTGAATGTAAATTGATAATCTTGTCTGTAAACCTTCACTCAATTCACAATAACAAGTTAAAAATAAAAAAAAGAAAGAAAAAGTTTTGCATAGAGAACGCTGTTCTTCGCAGCCGAGGTCTCTTGACCTATCTCCTAGACAAGAGGTTCCAAACTGATGCCACGCACAAAGGACATAAAAGCAGCTCACTGAGAAACCCATGCCTGCCTGCTTTCCCTATTAATCTTCTTGCTACAGAATCTCTTCAAGCCACAGCCCTTGAAACCATTCCAACTGGATTAGCAAACCTGTGTTGTAAAGACATGTCTTAATGTTCAACACCAGAAGACATGGAATTATATTACTAGAACCATTTAGACCCATTCAAGAAATGAGGGTTCCGACAGTGATTTCTGGACCAACTCCTAATCCTGATCCTCTTGAATTGTTGTTGTTGTTAAGTGCCGTTGAGTCAGTTCCAACCCTGTATAGGGTTTCCAAGGAGTCTCTGGTGAGCTTGAACCACCGTCCTTATAATTCAAACCAACTTTACAGTCCAACGCATTAACTCACAGTGCCACCCCAGGACTCCTGACCCTCTGGAATAATGCATGCTCTTTTCCAGAAATGTGATGAACGTGCATAACTTCCTCATTCCCCTGAAAGCTTAAAAACTCTCTTTTGTTCGGAGAGAGACAATGTGAAGGATCTCCCTGTCTCATTTGTTGTTATTGTGAAGTGCCATCGAGTCGGTTCTGACCCATAGCAACCCTGTATAGGATTTCTGAGGAGCAGGTGGTGGGCTTGAACCACCGACCTTGCAGTTCAAATGGCTTTGCAGTCTGACGCATTAACCCACAGCACCACCCCAGGACTCCGTATAGCCACCTTATATAGGGTTCCCGAGGAGCGGCTGGTGGGTTAGAACCACTGACCGTGCGGTTTAAATTACAGTCCAGTGCTTATCCTACAGCACCATGCCAGGACGCCAATATTTAATTACAAGCAATAAACCACTGTGGTGCTTAAATCCTCAGGACTCCAGATCATTTTTTAACTAGAGAATACATTGTGGGCCCATTGTTTTCAGTGAGTTCCGTAATGTGAATTTTTGCCTTGGTTCCCAAAAAGCAGCTTGGGGACGTTTTCCTCTAAGCCTTGAGGAGTTACTTTTACATTCGTTCTCAGAAAAGCAACTTGAGAGAGGGGGTACCTTCCCCAGTTTTTCTCTTGCTCATGGAAATGCCAAGTTGTAACCGACTTAAGGGTTTGGTCCTTTGGTCTGGTAGTTAAAGGTTGAGAGGACAGATCAGCAGTCACAGAGAAGCCAACGACCTTTGTAGCTAACTATCACACCTTGTGTAGAAATAGGGCGTTGAGGAGAACAGTTGGAGCCAGAAATAAGATGATTGTGATATGAAGTGAAAGAAAGTAAATATTTTGGAAGAATGGTTACCTGTTGCAGCTCTTCATATGAAATTATCAGGAAATTCTCTTTTCCTTTCATCGACAGCCAGCCTTGAATATGGTCAAACCATGATCCAAATATTACTGCAAATGAAGTGGGGAAATAAAGGTGATTTAAAAAAAAATTGGGGGGGGGGTTTCACATTCGTATGATCCTGTAATTTTATGAGTATCTAAATATCTGTTTATTGTACTGTGATGACTTGCATGCCGCTATGATTCTGGAAGCTACACCACCATCATTTTACTATCAGTAGGGGCACCCATGGTGGACAGGTTTCCCACTTCTGAATGGACAGCCACCGAAAACCTTATCAACACCAGCAGAATATTATCAGATATGGTGCTGGAAAATGACATCATTATAAATAACACCAGAATATTGTCACATAGAAGGTGAGCCCTTCAGGTTGGAAGGTACTTAGACTATGACCGAGAAAGCGCCACCTCCTCAAAGTAGAGTTGATCGTGAGGATGCAAATGGGGTAAAGCCTTTGGGACCTTCGTTTGCTGTTGGCACAACTCACAACAAGGAGGAACAGCTGCAAACATCCAATAATCATCGGAACATGGAATTACGAACTATGAAATTAGGAAAATTGAACGTTGTCAAAATGAAATGGAATGCGTAAAGATTGATATCCTAGGCATCAATGAGCTGAAATGGACTGATATTGGCCATTTTAAATCTGATAGTCATATGGCTTGCTAGGCTGGAATGACAGATCCAAGAGGGATGGTGTAGCATTCATCATCATAAAGAACACTTCAAGATCAATGTCATAAAACCTTTCCAGATCTATCTTGAAGTGCAGCCCTGTGTCTGTGGTAGGATAATATCCATATGCCTACAAAGAAGCCAAGTTAATACTATTATTATTAAAATTTACACACAAACCACTAAAGCCAGTGATGATGAAATTGAAGAATTCTGCCAATTTCTCCAAGGAGGCCTGGTAGGGTACTGGAGTGTGTCATCAGGATTGGAGGAAGACTCATTAACAACCTATGATACACAGATGATCCAGCCTTGCTTGCTGAACGTGAAGAGGACTTGAAATACTTACTGATGAACACCAAAGACCACATCCTTCACTATGGATTGCACCTCAATATGAAGAAAACAAAAATTCTCACGAGTGGACCGATAAGAAACATCATGATAAACAGAGAAAAGGTTGAAGTTTTAAAGACTTCATTTTGCTTAGCTCCACAATCAACACTCATGGAAGCAGCCATCAAGAAATCAAATGATGTGGAATAGCAAAGATGTCAGCTTGAGGACTAAGGTGCACTTGACCCAAGCCTTGGTATTTTCAATAACCTCATATGCATGCAACAGCTGGACAGTGAATAAAGACCATAGAAGAATTGATGCTTTTGAGTTATGGTGTTGGAGGATAATACTGAAAGTGCCATGGGCTGCCAAAAGAACCAACAGATCCATTTTGGAAGAAGTCTAGCCAAATTGCTCCTTGGAGGCCAAGATGGCCAAACGTCATCTCTCATACTTCAGACATATTATCAGGAGGTACCAGTCACTGGAGAAGGATATCGTGTTTGGTAAGGTGGAGGGTCAGAGGAAAAGAAGATCCCCGACGAGATGGATTGGCCAAGTGGCAGCATCGATGGACTCAAGCGTGGCAACAGCAGTGATGTTGGCCCAGGATCGGGCAGTGTTTTGTTCTGCTGTGCATAGGGTCTCTATGAGTCAGTACTAACTCGATGGCACCTAACAACAACAACAACAACATACCCTTTTTAACTAACAAAAACCCCCACTATTGTTCAGTCCCCTCAGACCCATAGCAACCCTCCCTGTAGGACAGAGTAGAGCTGCTCCCTAGGGTTTCTGAGGCTGTAAATCTTCACGGGAGCCGAAAGCCTCATCTTTCTCCCGTGGAGTTACTGGTAGATTCAAAGTACTGAAACCCACTATGGTACCAGGTCTCTTTGGACAGCCTAATATAGCCATCATTTTTGCATGCTTGCACCTGTATTTTTTCTAGTGTAAAAGTTATCACTGTACATCGTCTTGTAACTGGTAATCCAGTTTTATTTGAATATTCAACATCACCTGATATGGATTTGTGCCATTTTTGTCTTCATAATCAACAACATATAAGCATGTCTGCTTCCACAATACTGTGTGTCTTAAATATTCTGAAGGTTTGCCAAAGGATTTGTGAGTCATGGTTGTTTCATGCAATTATGTTGGGGTAATTAAATCTGCATTTCCCTTCCTTGTAATGTTTATCCTGATTGCTTTGATCCTCATATCTGAATTTGGCTTAGAAGTGAAACAGTGGAGTGGGGGCAGATCAACTGGAGGGGATCGAAAAACAGAACTCTCGATGGCAATATTTGATGCGTTTGATAGATATGTTAGAAGAGGAGTCATTATAACATCACCTATTCTTTTGATGGTATTTTATATTTCTCATAATAAAAACAAAAAATTAGCAGAAAATGTTAACAAGATTGAGGCTCAAAAAGAAGGAAAGATACCAAGTTTAAGTTTCAGGAACTATTGAGATAGAAAAATGCTACCATCACTTAAGTACTGACAGTTATGTAAAGCCTGAGATATTTTTTTTTCTTATTTCTATCACCACATATTAGTTATTATATATATATACACATGTATATATATATATATATATATATATATATATATATATATAATCTTATACCTTTCATTTTGAAATCGATTTAGATTTCACATGCAAATATAAGGAAGAATATATAGAATTTATAGTGCCTTATCTTGAACTTCACACAATGTTGTTGTTGTTGTTGTTATGTGCCATGAAGTTGGTTCCAACTCATAGCGACCCTGTACAAGGTTTCCGAGGTTATAAATCTTTATGGGAGCAGAAAGCCTCATCTTTCTCCCATGGAACAGTTGGTAGTTTCCAACTGTTGACCTTGAGGTTTTCAGCCCTATTTGTAACCACTACACTACCAGAGCTCCTTCCCCACAATGTTAGCATCTCAGTAAACATTACTATTCGTTTGTTGCTGTTGTTATGTGCAGTCTAGTCACTTCTGACTCAAAGCAACCCGAGATACAAGAGACCCTGCCCGGTGCTACGCCATCCTCACAATCAAGGCTGAGTTTGCAGCCCCCTGTGGTAATCCATCTTGTTCAGGGCCTCCCTCATTTTTGCTGACCCTCCACTTTGGCAAGTATAATGTCCTTTCCCAGGCACTGGTCCCCTCTGAGAGTCTGTTTATTTTGTATCTTCGATCTCAAAATTATACTGAGGACATCTTCAAAAGCCAGGAGCATGCAGACTGACACCTTGTTGTTTTACAGGAAGTAGTATGTTGTTGTTGTTGTTGTTGTTAGGTGCCATCAAGTTGGTACAGACTCATAGCGACCTTATGCACAGCAAAACGAAACACTGCCTGATCCTGGGCCAACTTCACTACTGTTGCCACGTTTGAGCCCATTGATGCTGCCATTTGGCCAATCCATCTCATTGGGGGGGTCTTCCTCTTTTTCTCTGACCCTTCACCTTACCAAACATGATATCCTTCTCTAGTGACTGGGCCCTCCTGACGATATGTCCGAAGTATGAGAGACGAAGTCTGGCCATCCTGGCCTCCAAGGAGCACTCTGGCTGCACCTATTCCAACACAGATCTGTTGGTTCTTTTGGCAGCCCATGGCACTTTCAATATTCTCCTCCAACACCATAACTCAAATGCATCAATTCTTCTACAGTCTTCCTTATTCACTGTGCAGCTTTCGCATGCATATGAGGTTATTGAAAATACCATGGCTTGGGTCAGGCGCACCTTAGTCCTCAAGCTGACATCTTTGCTCTTCAACACTTTAAAAAGGTCTTGTGCAGCAGATTTGCCTAATGCAATACATTGTTTGATTTCCTGACTGCTGCTTCCATGAATGTTGATAGTTGATCCAAGAAGAATGAAGTCATTGACAACTTCAATCTTTTCTCCATTGATAAGAATGTTGTTTATTGGTCCAGTGGTGAGGATTTTTGTTTTCTTGACATTGAGATGTAATCCATACCAAAGGCTGTGCTCTTTGATCTTCATCAGTAAATATTTTAAGTCTTCTTCACTTTCAGCAAACAAGCTTGTATCATCTGCATATCACAAGTTGTTAATGAGTACAATTAGCAATCTCACTGTAGCATAAGCATTGGACTGCGAACCACAAGCCACTCCCTGGGACTCCCATCAGGGTCGCTGTGAGTCAGAACCGACTCAAGAGCACTTAGCAACAAGAGGCTGGGAAGGCCATGTGGCTGCTGAAGTAACAAGATCATTGAATGTGGAGATATTCGGGTTGTGAGATGAAGTATATGATGTTTACCATCCCTTCCAGATACCCTCCCTGGTGTGGTGAACTGCCGTCCACTTGGTTCTATGGTTCTGACTCATAGCAAACCTGTATTGGGGGTTCCCAGGCATGACGGGTGAGTTTGAACTGCTGACTTTGTGGTTTGAACCAACCTTGCAGTTCTGCAGTGCCACACCAGAACTGCTACCTGAGTCAAACTCACCATTTCCCTGGAGAAACCATTCCAAGTACTGTTCAAATGATTCTGGATTCTTGACAGTTTTCAATGCTTTGAAGAAATGATAACCAGAAGTTATAATATCTCTGGGATTTCTGATGAGGTAAATGACCTGAAGTTAAAAAAAAAAAAAAGGTATGAAAATAAATGCAATCCATCCCTGTTGTTGTTGTGAAGTGCCGTCAAGTCGATTCCGACCCATAGCAACTCTGTATAGGGTTTCTGAGGAGCAGCTGGTGAGCTTGAACCGCCAACCTTGCAGTTCAAATGGCTTTGCAGTCCAGCGCATTAACCCACAGCGCCACACCAGGACTCCTTAGGTATAGATATATAGATATACAGATATACAGATCTAGATATGAAATCATGATTTGAAAAGCACCAGCAGGTAAGCACCAAGCCCACATATTCTCTGAGTTGTAGGAGCTAATCTATAATTCAATTGCTTACTCAATAGGGAATGCAATGTAAGGTACTATTGTTGTTGTTGTTGTGTGCTGTGGAATCAGTTCCGACTCATAGCGACCCTGTACAGGGTTTCTGAGCCTATAAATCTTTTTAGGGGAGCAGAAAGCCTCATCTTTCTCCTGCGGAACAGCTGGTAGTTTCGAACTGCTGACCATGAGATTAGCAGCCCAATTCGTAACCTCTATGGTCCTTCAGGTACTATTATAGCGCTATAATTAACTAATGAAGCACGAGTATTATTGATGGACCAACAGCAAAGGGATATGCACTATACTCTGTGGTTTGGAACAAAGCATTCGCTTCTGTTCCCTTTCATGAATAACCTTTTATCTCTGTCCCCAAAGCAAGGCATCCAAAACAGAGAAGTGGTCGATTGTATTGCTACAATGATTAGCTTACCTTTGCCTTGGAAACAAATAATGACTTGGGAAATAACTGAATTGGAAGGTGAGAGCTGTACATTCGTGGCCCTTGTTCCTTTGGGATACTTTCAGCTCCATGTATGCTTTCTATCCATGGTGTACGATACCAGAGAGCTACAGACTGAACCCAGCTGATATCTCCCTTGGAGTAGATGAGGCTAACAATCTCCGCCAGCCAATGCGATCCTGGAAATATAAATAAACTAGATTTTACCTACTTAATTCTGACTTTTAACCACGCCACAACACTTAATTACTTCTCTATTTGTGAAATCATCTTATCTTTCATGAAACCAGTTTCCTACTGCTTGTGTTCCTAATGTTTAATCTGCCTGCATCGTGCTCATCCAATATTCAACATTTGACCTCTAAACATTAACCTGAACTTATATATCCAGTTTAGCTCTCTTGAATTCTAGCTGGCAGTTTGTTGTTGTTGTTGTTAAGTGCCGTCGAGTCGATTTCGACCCATAGCGACCCTGTACAGGGTTTCCGAGGCTGTAAATCTTTACGGGAGCAGAAAGCCTGATCTTTCTCCCGCGGAGCAGCTGGTAGTTTCGAACCGCTGACCTTAAGGTTCGCAGCCCGATTTGTAACCACTACGCTACCAGAGCTGGCAGTTTAGAGTGGGAATTATCCAGCAGAAAGTGTCTATGCTATTAATGTTGTTAGATACCAAGGAGTCAGCTGTGATTCACAGCGTCCCTATACCCAACAGAACAAAACACCACCTGGTCCCGTGCCATCCTCAGAAATGTTTTTTTATTTGAGCCTGTTGATGTAGCCAGTGTGACCCTTCATCTTGTTGGGGGACCTTCCTTTTACTTGCCGATTCTCTACCAAACATCACGCACTTTTCCTGGGACTAGTCTCTTCTGACAACATGTCCCAATGGAGTCTCTCCAGCCTTGCTTCTATGGAGCATTCTTACTATACGTCTTCCAAGACATTTGTTTGTTCTTCTGGTTGTTCAAGGTATATTCAATAATCTTCGCCAACACAATTCAGATGGATCAATACTTCTCTGGTCTTCTTGAGTCCTTAGTCTACAAAGTATTTTTCACTCTTTAACACTTCAGTCTTTTGCAACAGTTTTTGCACAATACAATATGTCCTTTGATATCTTGACTGTTGCCTTCATTGTAGATTGATTATGGATTCAAGTAAAATGAAATTCTTGACAACTTCAGTCTTTTCTCCATTTATCATGATGTTGTTTATTGCTCCAGTTGTAAGGATTTTTGTATTACTTACGTTGCCCAAAGAATTCTTCAATATTGGAAGTCAAAGCTTGACTTTTTCTTCAGTTCTTTCAGCTGATAAATGCTGAGTGTGTTCTTCCTTTTGGTTTCCTAACTTGATTTATTTATTTTTAAGAAAAGAGCTCTTTATTCCACATTGTCCAATATTTTTACACAAGTAAAATAAAATGTATATCTCTATGTTCCGCGATTGGGTGGGAGGCGGTGCTCTGGTACAAACGCTGCAACACCCTGTAAACGCGATGGGGTGGAAATGAGGGGTGGGCAGGCCTGCGGGTGGGGAGGCAACCTCAGGGAGGGTCTACTGTGCCTGCCGGGCAGTTCAGTGCTGACGCTGCTCTGGCTCATGGAGGGATCCTGTATGCACCCACACCTGCTTGCAGGGAAAGGCCAAGGGGCAAGGTTGCAGGCATGGCCAGGCAGGGCACCCGAGCCATCCGCATCCCCACCTCCGCTGCCCACCCCGCCACCACCACCACCCGCCTGGCCCAGACGGCACTGACTGCTTGTGTGGTTTTTGCATGAACAACTTGGCCTCCGGCAGTGGTGGGGAACCCTGACACCTCAGAGCCCTCCAGCTGCAGCCCAGTGAGTGGGGGCTCAACTAAGCCAGGTAAGGTCCTGAAGGGGGGAGTCGTTGCTATGCTGTGGGATGGAGCTGTTGCCCCTTGAATGCGTTGTCAGCTGAGGCTGGGCTCCTAGCCTCCAGCACTGAGGCCTTGTCCATGTCATCTTGCTGATAGCACTTGGGTAGCCCCAGCAGCTCCTCATCGGTCCAGATGGGATGAGAGGGCTTAGTAGCCACAGCACAACCTTCTAGGTCAGTAGCAACCAGGCTGGCCAGATGAGGGGGCAGGCTGCAAGGCACCTCAGAGGAGGAACCACGGAACTGCTGAAGCTAGGCCTAGAGTGGGAGCACCCGGCACTCACAAACCTAGGGGTTGTCATTAAGTCGCCGGCAGTGGCCCCAGGGCCTCGGTGGATAGCACAGAGAAGTTGTTGGTGAACAGGTAGAGCGTCATGAGGCGGCTGAGGTCTCAGAAGGCGTGAGGGTGCACAGGGGCCACGGGGTTCTTGTGTGGCAGGAGGCAGGCCACAGAAGGCATGCTTGGGCACACTGGGGATCCCGTTACCAGGCAGGAAGAGGGGTGTGAGGCTGCCCAAGCCTCGGAAGGCGTCGTTGGGCAGTGCCTGCAGTCCGTTGTCCTGCAGGCCACCAGGCCATGGAACAGGCCCGGGCCCAGCTCCTGCAGGCCACAGGGGCCTAGGTGTAGCGTGTGCAGGTGGCTCAGGCCACGGAAAGTGGCGGTGTCCACGAAGTGCAGCTGGGGGTTGTCTTCGAGGTCCAGCTGCTCCAGGAGCGCCAGGCCGGAGAAGGCAGCAGTATCGATGCGGGCCAGCGAGTTGGAGTAAAACCACAGGATGGTGGAAGCCAGCGGCTAGAACGTGCGCAATGCCGTTCCCATGCAGGACGAGTTCGCTGGCTTGTGGCTGGGATGTCGGTGAGCAAGGCCTGCAGACATTGCTATGGGCAGCTTGTTGTCACCTTTGTAACACACACAGGCACGTGGGCATGGTGCTGCCACCCTCCATGCCTGCAGATACAGCAACCATGCCACCAGCTGGCTCCCTCCAGAGAACGCCCTCTCCGTCTCTTCGGGGTTGGGAAGGGCGCATCGGGGCACAAGGTCGCTCCCGGGTCCGCATCCAGCCGGACGAGGCTCAGTGCTCTCCGCTCTGCTCGGGCTCCCAGGTCAGCGAGGCTCGGAGCGGGCGGCTGGCTGCGGGGGACTGGCTGGGCATTTGCGGTGCGGGCCGGCAGCGGATGAATGTTGTCTGGGATCATGTGGTTTTCTGGTTCTCTAACTTTAGGTCTGTGCACATTTTATTATAATATTTGACTTTGTCTTCTTAAACTGCCCTCTGAAATGTTCTCTTCGGTTCTTTGACGTCATCATTTCTTTCATTTACATCCACTACACTACATTCAAGAGCACATTTCTGAATCTCTTCTGACATCTAATTTGGTCTTTCTTCTCTTTGTTGTCTTTTTAATGACCTTTTGCTTTCTTCATGTGTGATGTCAATGTCATCCCACAATTCCTCTGCTCTTTGGTCATCAGTGTCTAATGCATCAATTCTGTTCTTGAGATGGTCTCTAAATTCAGGTAGGATATACTTCAAGTTGCAATATAGTTCTCGTGGTCTTGTTTGCATTTTCTTCAACTTCATCCTGAACTTGCATATGAGCAACTGATGGTCTGTACCCCAGTCAGCCTCATTTTGACTAATGGTATTAAGCCCTTCCCTTGTTTCTTCTCTCCAATGTAGTCACTTTGATTCCTGCATATTCCATCTGGCAAGGTCCATGCGTATAGTCACAGTATAGGTTGTTGAAAAAGGGTTTTGCAATGAAGTCACTGGTCTTGCAAATTCTTATCATGCGATCTCTAGAGCTATTCTATCAGCAAAGCCGTATTTTCCAACTACCAATCTTTGCTCTTTGTTTCCAACTTTCACATTCCAATCACTAGTCATTATCAATGTATTTTGACGGTGAGTTCGGGTGGTAGGATTCAGATTCTTCATCACTGGCTTTGGTGGCTGGTGTGTGAATTTGAACAACAGTTGTAGTCACTGGTCTTCCTTGTATGCCTACGGATATTATCTGATCACAGACAGCGTTGTACTCAAGCTAGAGCTGGACATGTTCCCTTTGATAGTAAATGTAACACCATTCCTCTTCAATATATCATTCCCAGCGTGGTAAACCGTGTGATTGTCTGATTCAAAACAATCCAGTAATTCTACAGTAGTTTATCTTTTATAACAAACCCTACATGAACCCCAAAACATGCAGGAGTATTCTCGTCTATAAGGCTCCCCACAATACTCCGTATATCAAATCCTTTTGAATTACAATTGATGATCCTAATAGCTCTCTTGGACGTAAAGCTCCATTAAGACATATTTATAAATGGGTTTATTCCAAACAAAATGTGTTTTAAAATGTTGTTGTAACAGTGGCTGGCTGGCTGTGCAGACCAATTCTATCAGTAATGCACTTGTTTCCATTTTGATTGTTGTTGTTGTTAAGTGCTGTTGAGTCGATTCTGACCCATAGCGACCCTGGACAGGGTTTCTGAGGCTGTAAATCTTTACGGGAGCAGAAAGCCTCGCCTCATCTTTCTTCCATGGAACTGCTTGTAGTTTCAAACTGCTGACCTTAAGATTAGCAGCCTGATTCATCAGTCTTCTAAGAGTTTATTATATATATATATATTCCAATATAAAAAGAACACTTTTCAAGGGGATCTGCTGGGCTTGTTAAATTCAAGGTATAGAGGTCAGCTCAGATGGTTATGGTCACTGTTTCTTGGGATCTCAAAGGGATCATCTTGTTAGATTGTCTCAAAGGACACCAGACAATCATGGGAGCTTGTTAGGAAGAGGTTTTGAGAAAATGGAAAACAGCATTAGTGAGAAAAAAGCCAGGAAAGTTACGCTGAGAACTTTTTTCCATCATGACAATGCACTTGCTGATTCTTAGAGGTTAACTAGTGCTGTTTTAGAGAATCTCATTGGTTCACCTAGCCCACTCATCCTACAGCCTTGATCTTACCCCTTTCGACCTATTTTTTGCTCACAAAACTCTAACAATATTTAGATGGAGGATACACTAAGATACAGAAAAGGCACACAGTGATGACATCATTCCAAAGTGCCTCAACTTCACGCTCCACTTCCTTACCTGATTTTGGGTAAGTAACCATAATGACATCTTCATCCCTCACCACGAATTCATCCCGATTGCGTTTCATGTCTTCGATGTTGAATCCACTTGTGGGTAAAGGAATGCCTTCAAACCACAAATAATCAGTGGCCATTTCTGTGACACCCACCAAGCGTGGCTTTGTTGTTTCAGGATGAGCTTAGAAGCCGTTGGTTCTTAGTTCTGTTGCTGTTGGAAACAGTTCTGTAAAGCCTGTGATCGGATAATCCAGAGATCAGATAGAGTAATCCAAAGGTTGCTGCCATCTCAGTTATAGAAAGAGCAGGATGATTGAAGTTTCTCTTCAGCCAGTCAGAGCTCACGTGAGTAATCATTAGCTTAGTTCAAGTGCCTTTACAGAATACAAGATTACTAAAGATTTCTTCATTTGTGTAGACTTCAGAACAATGTTTACTCACTCTTCACGTGACTATTAAAGGAAAGCTTCCAAATAATTTAGTAACAAACTGAACATAGAGTAATACATCCATTAAAGCACTGTAAAAACTGTAACTCATTCTCTTGAACAAGTGATTTACTTTCCTCTTGTATCAATTTTTCCTCAATAAAGAGAAATATTGGAGCTCTGGTAGCGTAGTGGTTACGAATCGGGCTGCGAACCTTAAGGTCAGCGGTTCGAAACTACCAGCTGCTCTGCGGGAGAAAGATGAGGCTTTCTACTCCCGTAAAGATTTACACCCTCGGAAACCCTGTACAGGGTCGCTATGGGTCGGACCCGACTCGACGGCACTTAACAACAACAAACAACAAAGAGAAATATTACCATAGAACAAAAGACCACCAAACAACATCATTAATGAATGATGAGTATACTTCCAAAACAAAGGGACTTTAAAATTATAAATGTTACTTTGATAATTATTACCATTCTCTGGGAACTTTTTCCTCTGATGCCCAATTGCTGATTGACGAAATGTTGATTCCAACACATTCAATGGTTTGTGTACAACACATGAAAATGAAGGCACTAGTCAGAGAAATCATTTAGATTCATATAATATTCAGTCTGGAAAAAAATTGAGTGAGCCATGTTAATACATAGCCTCAGAAGTATGCGTAATGTTTATGGGTTGATGAAATAAGCAAATGGTTAGCATCTTCTACTGTTAAATATCCCCAGTTGTCTGTCAGTTTGTTGTACTTTAGTGGCTTGCAGGTTGTTGTGAAGCTGGAAACGGTGTCGTCTATATTTCAAATATCAAAAAGGTTGCCCATAGTAGACAGCTTTCATGAGAAATTTCAGGTTAAGAACAGAGTTGGAAGAAGGAACAGGTGATCCACTTCTGAGGGATTAGCTGCTGAAAACCTTATGAATAGCAGAGGAACATTGTCTGTCTGAGATACTGCCAGAAGATGAGCTCCAACATTTGGAAGCACTCAAACTAGGACTGAGGGAAAAACTACCTACTCAAAGTAGAGTCAATATTAATCACACGGACGGAGCAAAGCTTTGAGATTTTCATTTGCTGATGGGGCACAACTCAAAATAAAAACAAATAGCTGGACTATGTGGGGAAAAAAATTATAATCCTGTTTATTATTTTTGGGTAACTTTTTTTATTTCCTGAAGTAAAGACGTTATGATCTCTCTCTCTTTTTCTTTGGTTACTTCCTGAAGTGAGTAAAGAATTTATGGTCACTTTCTTTTTCTTTAAACCACTTCCAGGAGTAAGGAATTTATGATAACTTTCTTTTTCCTTAAACTACTTCCTGGAGCAAAGACTATGATCACTTTCTTCTTTTCCTAAAGTAGGAATGTGCACCTTAAAAATGTGAACTAGCCAACCGGGTAAAGGAATAGATTGTGCGGTCTAAACCCTAGCCAATAGGGTGAGACACAGCCTTGAGACTCGCATCAGAGATTAAAAACCCGAATGGACTGCCCACTCGGTGTGCTTGCTAGCCTGTTCGTGTATGTACAGCTATGCGCAAGCACCGTCTTGCAGGAGTAAATTTTACTTTGCCAACGTAATTTAGTCTCACCGAGTGTCTTTTATGCGACATCGGGATTCATTTCTAACAACTATCATATAATTCACAATAAAACATAAAAGAAAAAAAATAGCTGGAAACGTCCACTAATAATGGAATGTACAAAGTATGAATCAAGGAAAAGTGTTGTTGGTAAGTGCCATCGAGTCAGTTCTGACCCATAGCAACCCTGAATAGGGTTTCTGAGGAGCGCCTGGTGAGCTTGAACCGCTGACCTTGCAGTTCAAGCCAACTTTGCAGTCCAGTCAGTGCCACCCCAGGAAAATTGGAAGTCATCAACAGTGAACTGAAACACACAAAGATCCATCTCCAGTGCATTGGTGGCTGAAACCGATAGGTATGGGCCATTTTTAATCAGACAAGAATGTGGTTTACTATGCAAAGAATGACAAAGTCAGGAGCAATAGTGTTACATTCATTAGCCAAAAATACATTGCAAGAGGAGGCAGCAAGATGGGCTAGGCAGAAGGACTGTGTGTGGATTCTCTACAACAGAGATCCCAAACCCAAATGGAACAGACGCAGATAGTCCTGGAACTCGGAGCTTCAGATGATGGGATAGAGAAGTCAATTGAATGCTTACTAGGAGAGAGCTGAGCAGACACAGCAAAATAAGGAAGAGAGATTATCAACCTGTGCCCACCAACCAGATGGGTGCGGACAACTTGAGCTATTGTAAGCAGCTTCACAGACAAGAAAACATGTTGGCCAGCCCCCACCCGTGTACACCCCCAGGGAAGCTCCCTTTCTCCCAGTGGTTGGAGCTGCATGGAGGTTAGTGCCGCGGTTGTGGGCGGGAGCGGGAGTTGATCGCGTAGACCCTGCTCCAGATCTGCAGTCAGCCCTGGCCAAGTCTGGGCCAGCTCTTATGAGGAGAAGCAGCTGAACAGATGGGTGGCGGGGTGGAAATCCAAAACGAGAAAACAGAAATGGAGACCTGTGTCGGTTGGCAGCCACAGTGCGGCCATCTTGAACTTTCATGGACAACTTTGGAGGCAAGAGACATGCTGCCTATTGGTGAAGCAAAAATTTTTTTTCTTGTAAAACCCACGTTACGGTGGTGACCGATCCTCCTCCTGCTTCTTTCCTTAGCTGCATTCGAGTCATTCATTCATTCTTTCTTTTTGAATGTTTTATTGTGAATTATGTGATAGTTTACATGGGAGGACATTAGTTTTACATTCATCCTAATCATATATCATTTCATTGCCATGGTTACAATCCCCTCCATGCATCATCAACCAACCAAAGGGTACATACAACCCTACAATCCTGCCCCCCTCCCCCCTGTCCATCAGCACACTGCCCCCTCCCTCTCTGGGTCTAACGTCCCCAGCTGCTCCATTGCTCCACATCATCATCTCTGCCTCCATCTCAGGGATCACTGCTTCTCTGGGTAGGGTCCCGCTCTCCACTCTTCTCCCTTCATGGTCCCAGGGACCTCCGCTCCTAGACTGAAAAGTTAATCACTCCCCTCCTTGCTACAAAACGTCTACCTTTATACATTACCAACCCTCACAATCAGTCCTGATAACAATTATTCACTATCGTATGAGTCATTCATTCTCTCTCTCTCGCTCGCTCTTTTTTTTTTTTTTTTTTTTAATAGAGAACAAGTTTATTGGTATCAGAGGTTGGAGGAAGGGGGAAAGGGCAAGTTAACAGTTATTGGGAATATGTCAATTAAGAATAGGGTTGCACAACTGATTATCATAGTTGTACACCTATAAAAAGCTTAATTGGCAAAAGTTCACACAAAAAGGGAGTAGCTGCTGAGGTTGCACACAATGAACACCTCGTTACTTGGTTTGTAAGGACATTCCAGTTAACTAGCCCAGTAATATGTTTAGAGCGTCTGTTCTAACCTTTAGTTTGATGTGCAGTGTCTATGGTCTTTAAAGCAGCCATCCAAGGCAAGACAGCTGTTATCTATTCACCTGGAACAGCAGAGGAAGGAGAATCCTGGGAAGAGGAAGAGGACATGGAATGTGTGCTGCTTTCCTCTATGAACCTCTGTCTCCTTTATCATGAGTCCAAAAGAACTGGATAGTACCCAGCTACTACTGAACATTTTGATTCAAGATTTCATAGAAGAATTCTGATCAAAGTGTGTGTGGGGTGGGTTCATGTATATCATTCATTCTTAAAACACCCTCTTCTTCTGATTTCTGTGACTAGGAAACTCTTCTAACTTTCTACTACTGTTCAGTCTCCTTTGCCCCTCCTCATAGGCTATCCAATACTTGACTCCCTAACCATTCATTTGACCCTTGACATTCAACTTGTTTCTATTGGGTTCCAGTTCATAACATGGAGAAAGAATAATCCAGGCAGAATGCTCTCTGTCACGGGCATTAAAATCCCATCAGATATACAAATTGTGCTCTCTTCCAGGCCACTATCTCCCCGCCTACTAAGTCATGCTGGTAGAAAGAGCACACATTCCTTCTCCAATGTGTTTGCTTGTGACTCTTGGTCTTCTGTGATCTCATTTGGACTGTCTCCTGGAAAGTGTTGCCTGACATCTTTTGCTTACTGTTGTCATTTTCTACAGCACTTCCAGTTGTCATTGACTCAGCACCTGACCTGTGGTGGCTCCAGGCACCCTGGAAGGAGACACAATCCACAAGACAGGTTGCTGGGTGGATCGTTGTGATTCAGAGGGTCTTCATTCACTGATTTTCAGAAGTAGATCACCAGCACTTTCTTCCTAGTCTGCCTGGCTGTGGAGCCTATTAAACATCACAGAAATATGCAGACCTTCAGTGACAAACATGTGGTGGCTTCACATCAGGTACTTTGGACAAGAATTGAACTCCAGTCTCCGACATGGAAGGTGAGAAATGAACCACTTAACCACCGTTGTCTCGCGAGAGATGTTATTGCTGTATGCAATTCAGTCCCTTTTGACCCAAAGTAACACTATAGACTGAGGTTTATGGGAACTCATTGCCAGTTCTTTTCTCTTGCAGGACACTTGTGGATTCGAACCAATGACCTTCCAGTTAGTAGCTGAACGCTTAACCATGACATCACCAGAGCTCCTTAAGGAACCTTCTGGTGACCTTTAAGAATGAACTGTCATCTCCCTATTTCAACCCT